CACTACTACCACTACTACCACTACAACTACTACTACTACTACTACTACTACTACTATTACTACTACTACTACCACTACCACTACCACTACTACTACCACTACTACTACAACTACTATTACTACTACTACATTACTTACAGGTGTGTGCACAACACACGCATAACACACAATACACACAGTAGAAAGAACACACAACAGTTTAAACAACGTGCAACATTATAAACAACACACAACAGTATTAAAGAACACATAAGCAATGTACAACACACAACAATGAAAGTAAAACAACACACAACAATGAAAGTATAAACAACACACGCACAACGCACGTCAGTTTAAAACAACACACAACAGTATGAATGAAATACACACGAACAATACACAACACACACCATGCAACAATTTAAGAATTATAATAATAAGCAACACACCAACTGTATAAACTACACACGGACAGCACACAACACAGTATAAACAACACGTGCACAACGCACATCAGTTAAAAAATACACAACAGAATAAACTACTCACAAACAACACATGAACAATACACAACTCACAAACAACACACAACGATATAAACAACACACGAACAATGCACAACACACAACATATAAACAACACACAACATATATATAACACACAACATATAAACAACACACAACATATAAAAAACACACAACATATAAACAACACGCAACACATGAACAATACTCAACACACACCACACAGCAGTAAAACAACACACGAACAATAAACAATGCACAACACACAAACAATAAACAGCACACAGCAGTATAGACAGCACAAGAACAATACATCTGACAACAGTTAACTAACTAGATCTAGATCTAGTACAGGAATATTGCACTGTATTGTCATTGATAGCATGCGATAAAGACAAGGAAGTTCTGATAAGAACAGACACTGTTGGTCGCTTCACCTCTCCTCGTCGACTTGTCTTGTGGTTCCAGGAACTTATGGCAGGTGTGGTCCAGTGTCCAGATGAAGGCACAACAGTTGTTGTTTTTTTAAAGATGATATATTTTATATTTATGTTTTAAATATAGTCAGAGTTTTACGGCACCTGCAACTCAATAAGGTAATTTTGTAAGTGCCGAAGATTAGAGGTGTTACAAGACAGTAACAAACATAGAAAAGAAGGAGGAGAGATCAGGACGATAGATCATGTTTGGTAGGAAAGAAGGAGCAAACTACACCAGAGCACCCGATAACCACCTGGTCCCAACTGTTTACTGTTTACCTTTTTTGTTGCTTTCTCTGACAATACCGCTCAAAAGACGCCTACTGTGCGCTCATATGACCTTATGCAGTTGCGAGCGACGTAACATATTTA